GGGGTTGATGGGCGCGGCGGCGGAGGTGACCTGCGCGACCCCGCGGTCGCGCGTCGGCTGTGGCGGAAGCTTGAGGACGGAAGCAAGGCGCTGACCAGGGTCTCCAGTGCCACGTCAATCGATGAGTTCCTCTCTCTCAGCAACCTGAAGCAGAAGATTGGCCCCCCCTTCCAAGGCCGATTTCCTCATCTTAGACGGTCCCGATCGGTACCAGACATCGATTTTGTCTTATCCTCTGAGGACGTATGGGGTAAAGCCACGTCAGCCGTGCGAAACCGCAGCTTGGTAGCGCGAGAGGAATGGGAGAAAATCAAGAAAAGATTGCCCACCGATAGCCGCGCTGTCATCAAGAGAGTGAAGGATGGGCTCAAGGAGTGGGAGACGACAGCCGCCGCCAGTCTCAAAGACTTGGAAACGACGGCAGCTGCCACGAAAGCGAAGCCGCAGCACTTTTTTCAGAACGTCAAGAAGAATTTGGTAAGTGGCAAAAGAAGGAAAGAAAAAAAAAAAAAAAACGTAAAAAAACTTGTGCATGTGAAAAAAAAAGAAAAAAAAGACGATTGCGACGAATAGTGAAAAAAGACGTAGGTAGTTGCTGCCTCGTTAAAAAAAAAAAAGAAAAAAAAAAGGGTAAAAAGAAGGCAAAAAAAGAAAAAGAAAAAAGTGACGAGTCGTTGACGACAACAAAAAACCCCTTTCTGGATTGGCTTGCTCTGCCTCTCGCCGCCTCCGCCTCCGCCTCGTCTTTCCTCCTGCTCCTGTCCCCCACAACTTCTCCTTCTCCTTCTCTCCATCCTTTTTGTCGTTTTCTGCCGGAAGCAAATACCTGCCAACCTCTCGTTCGTCTCCCTCCTCCTCTTTTTGTTCTTTTTAATGTTTGCGGCTGCTCTGCTTCTCGGTTCAGGCATCCTCTCTCCCAATCCTCCCGCCCTCACTTTCGCCTCTACCAATCTTCTCTTACTGTCCTTTCCTTCCCATCTACTTCTACCCATCTACTTCTTGCCGCTCTCTTGGCTCTTTTGGCTCTCTTCGTTCTCTTCTCGTCCTTGCTTCTTTCTCTTTTCCTTCTCTTTCTCCTGCTCTTCTTCGTCTCTGTGTTCTCTTCTTCTTGTCCTTGTATCTTCTTTTCCTTCTCTGTCCTCCTCTTCTCTACCTGCTTTCAATTGTCTCGTCTTAATGGCCAATTTCTTCCTCTTCTTCCTCTTCTTGATGTCATCTTTCTCTCTACTTTGCCTCTTTTTCCGCTTCTCCTTCTTCTCTGTTTCTCCCTTTTTTTCCTCGTTTCCTTCTTGCTTTTCTTCCTCTTCTTCATCGTTCTCTTCTTTTTTCCTTCCTCTTCTTCCTCTTCCTCTTTTTCCTCTTCCTGATGTCCTTTTTCCCTCTCTTCTTTTTTTCTTTCTCCTCTTCCTCCTATCTCTCTCTTCTTCCTCTTCTCTCTTCTTTTGCTTGTTTTTCCTCGTTTCTTCTTTTTTCTTCCTCTTTTTCATCGTCCTCCTCATTTTCCTTCTTCCTCTTTTTCCTCTTCTTGATGTTGTTTTCCCTCTTCTTTTTCTTTTTCTCCTCTCTTCTTCCTCTTCTCTCTCTTCTTTTCCTTGTTCTGCTGTCTTTTTCTCTTCGTTTCCTTCTTAATGTGCTCCTCCTTTTCTTGTCTGCCGTATTCTTTTTTGCTTTGTCTTCTTGCTTTGTCTTCTTGCTTTGTCTTTTTGCTTTGGCTTTTTTGCTTTGTCTTCGTGGTGGATGGCGGTTCTCTTCCCTGTCCTCTGGGTTGTCGTTTCTTCCCCTTCTCTCCTCTCTTCTCTCCTCTCTTCTCTCCTCTCCTCTTCCTCTCTTGTCGTCCTCTCTTCACTCTTCAGTTCTTCCTTTTGCGCCTGTTTAGCGATATGCCCATCTTCTCTTCTACTTCTCGTCTAGCGTGTCCTTGTCTACGTGGAATGGTCACGTTTTTTTATTATTTTATTTTATAGTAATAAATATTCCTTTGAAGAAGCAACATTTACGCTTGTCGAAACAATTTTCAAGAACATCACGTCCTAATGCGTACACCTTTCCTCTGCGTTATTCATTTTGCTCAAATCCCCTTGCATCCTCGTTTATCCACCCTTGCGGGACGCTCCCCCCCCAACACCCTTCCCCTCTCTTCCCCCTCTTCCTCCTCTTCCCCCCTCCCCTTTCCCCCCTCTTCCCCCCTCTACACATGCATTTCTTGCGTGGTTGTGAGAGTGCGCCTGCGATTCATACTACCGTCTTCCGCCGAATAGAACGCACGGTCGTTAACCTTGTATCTAGACTGGAAGTCGCACCAAATACAGCTATAATGACGCGCGTTTTATTCGGGGCGTGGATGATAGCGTCAGGAAAGATATACCCCATGCGATCGAACTTCCTCCCTTAAGAAATCCCGTGAGGATTTTTTTTTTCTTTTTTTTCTTTTTTCTTTTTCGCCACGAGTAGTTGCGTTTTCGAAAACCCATTCCCATTCTGCTGCGGCATCGAGATTGGGGGGAGAGGGAGGGKGGARGGGGGAGGGAGGGGGGAAGGAGAAAATGAGGACGGAGGCGGAAACTGATGTGATGGTCACAGTACAGTGAGTGGCAGTGCTACCGTCTTGAGCCGGATAGAACGCCAGGTCACTCATTATCGCTGTATCTAGACCACAACATGGCCCGGATAAAGCTATAAGGACTGGGCGTTCTATTCGGGCGAAGACGGTAATGCTGCTTATGAAAAAGGGAACATGATGATGCACTCGGCGGTACTAATAGAAGAGAGAGAGAGAGAGAGAGAGAGAGAGAGAGAGAGAGAGAGAGAGAGAGGGAATGATGATGCACGGCGGCGGCGCCATGATGTTTGTCTTTTGTGCATGTGTCGAGAGCAGTGGAGCGAGGCCCAAAGTTTATACGTGATAGAGGAAGGCTTCACCGAGAGAAATAAAAAAAAATTTGGTGTTTTCCCGCTTTCTTTGCAGGGGTGACCTTTTGTTGAAGGGTTGACGTCATTTCCTGTTTAAGGTCAGACTAAAAAAACAAAAAAACAAAAAAAAAACAAAGCTCCAATCTATTCGTGGGGAGCAGCACGTGCTGGGAACCGGGCCCAGCGTCCCATATGAAAGATTTACAGATAACAACGGTTTCTCTAGCAAAAAGGAAAATGAGGGAGGGGGGGGGAGGCGAGCGTAGTAGTTTATCGGGAAGATGGGGTAATAGCCTAGCAGACGCCACGTGGCACCGGGAGGAGGGAGGGGGGAGGAGAATAAGCATTGTGTGTGAGAATGAAATATAAGACTTAGCGGTTTCTGATTTTTGTTGAAGTCAACAAGGAATTCATGCTTAGCGGAAAAGAGAAAAGGAAATATAAGACTTGTAACGGTTTCTGATTTTTGTTGAAGTCAACAAGACTGAGGGCCTAGCTCTACTACTCAACATTCGACACGTATCCGGACTGCTTGACGTATCAGATACATCCGGACTAATCGAGCATTTTTTGGATGTATTGGGACTCTATTTCCAGCTCCAGGTGCGTTTAGAATGTTAAGCACTCGATGGAGGCCCTCTCGATTTCATCACTTTTTTTTTTTTTTTTTTTTTAA